CACACCTGCTAAACTCCGGTTCAGCCCTAGATGTTTCTCCCCTGTTATTCTTCAACTTCCCCTGTCCTTCCTCCTAAAGGGAGCTCATTGGATGGATGAAGCGGCGGTTCTTAAATGCAGGCCTGATACACATAGGTGAATCACGATCAGCTATTTATTGCAAAGATTTGTCACTTTTGATAATGTTGCCCCCACTCACTTGAATGCCCTTGTGTTTTTGTTTTGTTTTGTTGAGTGGGAGGGAAGGGCATTCGGTTCCAGCAGGAGGTAGAGAAGTTCACATAATCCTAGCCTCTGCCTCTGTTGTGGTTCATATGAAGGTCACCCATCATGTGCGTTCTGGTGTAGAAAAGGTGGGAAGCTCTGTGACAGAGGGGAACTGGCCATGACCTCTACCTCTGGAAAGTGTTTATCTATCCTCAAGCCCAGGTACTTGGAACTGTGGTGCTTGCACCTGGTTTTCACCTTTGACATTGTCTCCCTAAGACCTTTTATTTGAGACCATGGGTACTGTATTTTTTAAACGTTTATAATAAGATGTTCCTAGATTGGTGTGTTCTGACAGTGATAAAGAAAATGTCTTTGCTAGATCATCATAGAAATAAGCCTTAAATGATTCTTGAATCACCAATTAGTCATGTTAAACTTACTGGTAAGTCAAGGCAATTAAATTTGAGTCCAAGATTTATTAAGCACCTACTATGTTTCAAGTGCCATGCAAGACAACAGAGATAAGACAGTATACTTTTTTTCTTGGCAAAGAAGGCAAACATAATAATCTGTGCCCTGATCAAGTTTACAGTCATTCTGTGTTGGACACAATTAAACTCTTTTTTTTTCAGCCCACTGCCCTCCCCCCTCCATGCCTCCCTTTTGAAAAATTAGGGAGTAGTCTTACCTCAGCCATTGGAGTCACTGGATCTCAATGAGAGTCCATTTTCTCTTTTTATTCCTCCACCCAGCTACCACTCACAACCCCTAAACACACCTGACCCTCTGTGGTTATTGGGGACGTTAGTGGGTTTTCTCTTTATGTTAAACTCCCTTGAACACATTCACTAGACCTTTATGGAGCTCTTATGATGCGCAAAGTCCAGTGCCAAGCTCTGCGGGAGATACTAGACTATGAGGCTCAGTTCCTTCCTTCAGGATGCTTGTGCTCCAGGCCAGTAGATAAACTAGCCACAGGGAGGGGGAAGATGATGAGGTGAGAATCATTGGCTGTAGTAAGTTCAGAAGAAAGAGGTGTTCTTTGCATTTGAGGAAGAAGAGGAGGAGAAATGCAAGGAGAGATGGGACGATTCAAAATAGCTCATGCCCCTTCATCTATTCCAGCAAGTATAGTAAGTATGGCCATCTCATCCCTCACTAAAATGCTTTTCCAGTGACTCAGTTCACCCCATACTGAGCCCTTTCCAAATAGGATTGTCTTCCCAAATATAGGAGTATACCTTCCATCCTGCCATAAATTGAAGACTGTTGGTGCCCAGGGGCTGGCTCTCTGACCCACGTCGCCTCTGAGATTCAGCCCCTTCTTTGTTTAATGAAAAGTAGTGACATACCAAAATGGCAAAAGGAGGAAAACCTCATATAAAGAAAGTGATCCTTATTGTTTCTTCACATGTCTGTATCATATAGCTTTCTCACATTTAGACTGAAAGGTCAACTTTCATTATTGCATGCATCTATGTGATTGACAACCATATGTCTGAGATAGTTCCTGTGAGTTTTCAGAGCAAAATCTGAATCCTTTTGGCCTCAACAATGAGCCTAAGCAAAACTAAAATAAAAAAGTAAATAGTGAAAATTTAAAAATATAGGTATTTTCATGGCAACTTCCTCAAAGAGTTATATTATAAAGAAAGCAAACATCGGCTTATTTCTCTTCCCTTAAGTAAATATGATTCCTGGGTGAGATTTTCAATGGGAAATTGATTTTAAGAAAAACAATAACACCCACAGATGAAGCTCAGGAGGTCACATGGAAAATGAGGGGCCTGGAAGTTCTGATACATCTTCTGTTTGGACCCTTTTTTGCATCAGCATCTTCAGAGGAAGCTGCTGCTGGGTTCCTCAGAGTCGACTCAAAGCACTGGTCATTGGGATATGCATTTCTTAGGCCTCAGAATGGGTTGGTTTCTGTGCTTTCCTGCAAATACAAAATTTCACCCAAATACACAATGAAAAGGGAAACTCAAGATTAACAAGGCTAAAATTTCAGCTCCATTTTCTTCTACCCTTTTCCTTTCAAATTCCTTGTTAATGAGGAGGGCTTTTTTTTCTGTTTAAAAAGCATTCACACATACGCGCGCGCGTGTGTGTGTGTGTGTGTGTACATTATTCAGAAGCACTTCTCTGTTGTTCTGGAGAAAGTCTGTAGAAAATGCTTACTTTTGAGCAAAAAGTTATTATCAACAACAGCCACTCCCCTCCCCCCAATAAAAAAAAGACAAATCCTCCTAGCTTCCTTTGAACCTTAAACAGTGTTTTTATAGGCCAGCTCATTGTTTTCCTTCTCTCTGAAAAATGTAAAGCCATAACTGTTGTGATGAGTTCTACAGAGTAAGACGCTTTCCACGATTTCATTTCTTGACAAAGAGCAGCTACCTTACTCGGTCTCTGCCACATGTGAGCACTCTCCCAGGCAGAGAGCCTGCGCTTGGAGGAACAGTATCTTGAACTCTGCCCCTCTGCCCAGGGGGACCCCGCCCTCGCCCTGAGAGGTGGAGGAGTCGCAGGGGCGAGGTGTGGGGAAAGAGATAGCAACTGTCCCCATGGGCACTGTCCTGGTGGCTCTCGGGGTGGCTTCTGCCCTGTCGCCACTTGATCTGGGTTTTCTCTCCAAAAGTAAAAAAAGTAAAATTAAAAAACAAGGCGTGCCTGTCTTTTATAATGTTCTGTTTTAAGAGAGAAACCTCCAGGGAGAGAACAGGACCCTAAAAGTCCGAGGCCTGGAATTCCTCCTTTCTCTCTTTCCATTTTAAACAGGAAGCATCCAGGCTAAGAGGGCCCGCAGGGAGCGCCGGCTGTGTGTTCATTTTAAAGCAGATAATGTTTGTGTGTTGCAAATGTCAGTGATTTATCCCACGGGCTTAAAATGAGTGCAGAAAAACCACATGTTTCACTTCATGCGGAGAAAAGCTCCAGTAGATTTTGAGGGAAGGCACAGGTTAAGGATTTTTTTTTTTAAGTTTTTCAGAAATCTCCAACATGAACCCCAGGAAATAGAAATGAGTGGGGGGGGTGGCGAGGGCCTTCAAAATATTTTATGATAAAAGATAAAATGAATGCTGGAAGTTTCCTAAATCAAAAATAAAATTCTCAGGGAGAGGGGAGAAATCCTGGCCCCTCATTTCCCCTGGCTGGGGTGACAGGCGCGATCGTGCCCGATTTGTCACGGGCGATTTAAAATAGAGCGAAGCGCACGGCACTGAATCATCGCCGTTGACGTTATAATAACTTGTACGTAAACAATTTAATTTTTTTATCTGAAAACTCTCACGGACTAAATTACCCGGTGCTCGAAGGCCTATCTGTCATTGTTATACATAGCCAAATTAAGACGCCAAGAAGTGGAGAGAGAATCCTATTGTTCATCTTTATAAATGCGCTCACGTGCTGCTCGGCACCTGCTCGGAGCCCGGCGCTGGTCATGCCTGCATGGATCTGAGGGGCTTGCAGAGCTGGGCTCGCATCAGCCTGCAGATGACAGGGTGATCCTGACCCACATGACGGGGTTTGATTAGCCACAGACTCTGTTCTCACAGCGACGCCATTGCTTTCAAGGGTTCGACCAGCCTGTACACTGATGTTGGAGAGCTTTTCATTAATTGTGATTGTTGCTGTTTTCCTTTAAAAATATGTTAAAAGGGGGGAGGGGGGAAAGCGAGGAGGATCTGGGCCGATGGTGGTGTACATGCGCACGGGAGGTTTGTGGGAGTTAAGAGCCGCAAACAGAGGCATCTGTTTAGCCCCGGGCTGGGTAAGATGTGGTCATGTGTTTGGAGACGGGTTGCTTCTGGGACGGCAAGTGGATCAGAAGAAGCTTGTTGTCTTAGCGGAGAATCCAGGCGGGGTCGCTTTCTGTTAGCGTTTGTTCTGGCCCCGGACCTTCCTGCGTGCCTCCCGGTTACGCTGTGTAACCTACAGCTGGTTTGGCTTTTCCCGCGCTGCTACCGGCCTGGCGCTTCTCGGCTTTGCTGGAGGATTGCTTTCATCAAGGTTCCAGGGGAGCAGGTCCCAGCTCTGGGTTAGGACCTCTCCTAGGAACTGGAGAGAGGGGAGGGCACACTATTCCCCACCGGGAGGTGGCAGAAGACCCAAGGGGTAGCCCAAGACGGTGGCCATGTAAAGAGCACCAAAGACCGAGGAGAGAAGCGAGGGTGAGCCATGGGAGCCTGACGGCTCCGAGGAACCTGGATGTTTCTGCCATCATACGTGGGACTGGCTTCAAGCAGGCAGAGGAGGAGAGGGTGGAATGTTCACAGCCTTAGAGAGCCCAGCTCTGCCTTGTTTAGGAAACTAGTTGGCCACTAGGATCAAGGCCAGCCTCAGAGGATTTAAACAAGTGGAAGCATATTTCTCTCATGTACCAACCTGAGTGCACGCAGTCCTGGCTGATCTGATGGCTCTGAGGTGTCAGGGACCCAGGCTCCTGCCTTCCTCAACCCATGGCTTTCACCTTGTGGTCTGCAAAGGCCACTCCAATGGCCACCAGGAAGGAGACAGGGAAGAGGAAGGTTCCCTCTCTTCTGTGTAAGGGCACAGTCACTTCTGCGCACCTCCCATTGCCACACCCACCTGTCCTCCTAAATCCTGGGGGAAGTTCTCAGCCTCTGGGTGGTGACAGTGAGGGCTGGTACACAGGCTTGTCTAAAGCTTACATTCAAGGGGCTCTTCATTGCCGCTTGGCTTGTCGGGACCTCTATCGTGCACACGTGGGGAATGTGTCTTCAGCCAGCCAAGTAACTACTGACATGTGTCTGCTCTTCTCTTCCCAGGGGAGGACCCGCCGATCCCGCAGACTATCTGACAGCAGCACCCCGAGGGCTCTACAAGGAGAGGGAGCTCCCATACTACCCAGGGCCTCATCCCATGCATCCGCCCAAAGGGAGCTACCCCCGCCCTCCGGATCTGAGGGTCGCAGATCTCCGGTATCCCCAGTACTACCCACCCCCACCGGCCCCCCAGCACAAAGGACCCTTCCGCCAAGATGTCCCGCCCTCACCCCCTCAGCACCACAGAGTGCCAGCCTATCAGGAAATGGGCAGACCAGGCCCCCGAGGGGGCAGCCCAGACCAGTACCCCTACCGGACCCAGGACCCCCGGCAGAAGAACCCCATGACTGCAGCCGTGTAGCCCAACACCACCAAGCCCAGCGCAGCCCAGAAAGGAAGACAGCTAACATCGCCCTTCCTCAAGGCCTTCTTCCTGTTAAGACTTGTCCTGCGTACAGATTAGGTTTTTTGATTGAGAATGTAACACCTGACTGCTAATTAGAGGGAAAAAGAAGGAACAGGAGTTTTTGGAGGGGAAATGTCGGGAGAAAGAGGAAGGATGGGCCATAAAAACAATACTGCCTGATATTTGAAGTACGTTTAGAACGGTTAACGTCCATGAGTGGCATTTGAACAAGCAAATCACAAAGAAGATACCCTCAGCATTGGCAGCGTGGAGCAGCCGCTGCCCTGGATCATCTCCATTCAGAAGCTAAGCTCCAACCACTGTATTAAGTCGGAGGAGTGGCTGCAAACATGGGCGTCTTAAGTGAGTAGTTTTTCAATGAGAAAGGAAACAGCAAGCTTGACTTGTGATCTCCTTGGAACGTTTTCTACCCAGAGGAAGACTGCATCTCTTTACTTGTAGAATTTCTCAGGTTCCTGGTACCATTCGTGTGGTATAAGTGTTTCACGTTTCCTCACTTTTGTATAAAAATAAGATGCGAATGCAGTATTAGTGTCCTGGGAGAATGTGCAAAGCTAGTCGGAACTTCCAGAAGGAATCTATTCCAAGGACCACAGTGACCAGGTAGAGGGCTGAAATTCCCGTGGTCCTCACTTTTCTTCCTCCCATGTCCCAAGCACAATGGCATGGGGACACGTGGTTTCAGAGTCACCCGCAGGTCTGCTGCCTGTAATTATTAGAACTGGGGCCTCTGCTTTAAGCCTCCCATTGGAGGACTAGAATGTACTTGAGAAAAAGAGGTCCCATGGACTAGGCCACAGGGGAAGCAATGCCCTGGAGGTGCCAATTCTAGACCCAGTGCCAAACAATGCCATCTGGACCCCAGGGACAGGGCCTTCGGAGATTGAGAACCAGCAGGTAGTGGATGGTGGTGGCTGACCCATGTGTGTGTGTGTGTGTGTGTGTGTGTGTGTGTGTGCGTGTATGTAAGTGTGTGATTAGCAGTATGGAGAATAAAAGATAAAAGTGCTTTCTGGAAATTTTGATGAATAAGGGAATAATAAAGGGGGGAAAAAGAAAACAGAAGGGATGGGAAGGGAGAAGACACATAAAACGAGGTCATTCTGTATCTGCTGTATTTCATTTACAAAAGTCAGGACAAGACAAAGGCCAGGATGGCCAATTGGGAAATGAAGGTCTATGTTTTTGAAAAGCTGAACCCCACCTCCAAGACCCATCCCAATTGCTTTTGAGCTTTGCAGCTATTTTTCCTTTTTTTTTAATAGAACATCTAAAACTTACAACTTGACCCAAATGAGAATGCAAACAAAAGACTGAGCAATGGTCAAACCTGGAGCGGCAGACATACTTTAGGCATTTTCACATTCCTTCTTTATTCCCTCCCCAAAATAAAAATGTCTTGAGTTCAATTTAGAGGTATTTTGGTTGATATATTAGAATATCTCTGACTGATAGGATTTAATAAATTATAGTATTATTGAATATATAGAGTATCCATCTAGCCCAGTTTAGTCTTATTTTTTTAATTTAAAATAGAGTTAAGTTACCAAGAATGATGTGACTGCTGGTTTTAGATTTAAATGGTGTTACTTACTGGACTTTAAGAGGTATCATTTTCTAAACTACAATTACTTATGGCCCTCTTGCGAATAGACCTTCAAGATTTTTTTCCCTCTCTCATCTCTCTTAAGCCTTTAGATCCTTTGCAATTCGTGCAAAGAGGTTGAGGATCTCCAGCCCTGCTTACCTGGAGTGCAGGTGAGCTGTAGGGCTTCCCTGCCCACATGCTGAATGCTGCCTTCCCCTCAATCTAAATAAACCTTCAAGAAGAAAGTGATAAGGTGATGATAATGCAACTTGGTTTGAAGCATTGAAAATCAGCTCTTCAGTATGTCCCATAGTTTAACCAAATGTCTGTGGACTACTGGACATAGACCAGCCAGAAGGCAGCTTCTGGACTAAGGCCAAGACTCACAAGAGGTCGCCCAAGGGAAGTAGCATGAAGAGAAATTCTCTGTGCATTGGAGGAGTGGTCTTTGTAGGAAGAAAGCCCATATTTTCACCCCGTTGCCACATTGTGAGCACAATACCCCCTGCAGGCAGGCTCAGGGTAAGTTGCTCCAAGCATGGTTTTGTGTTGTATACACAGTAAAACAGCTGCTAATCCTGAGAGGCATTCAATGATGTGAAGGTACTATTAAGGTGAACCACAAAATGATTATAGCAGTTTTCTCTTCTTGCCTGAAGCATAACACATGCCCCGTTGACCCTGCCCGAAAGAACCCAACATTATGTGTACGACAGAGGTCCCATCAAGCCAAGCAACAATTAAGAGCAGCTTGAATGTAAGGTTTATAAATGCCTTTGTACCAACCCTCACCACCCCGAGGTTACAGAACTCTCCAGTATTTAAGGGAACAGGTTGTTTTAGAGTATTTAGAAGACCAGGCTATAATCAGTAGGTACCCAGTAGCAGAAAATAGTTCCCGGTTTAGGGCCTTGGAGAAACTCAACCACGTGTCTCTTTGTATCTCAGAACGCTAATACCATCAAACACACACACACACACACACACACACACAACACACACACACACACACAGCGCCCCCAGGAATGATGGCACAGGGAGCTGCAAATCCATCGACATACACCCACCTGACTCGTGATCTGACTGCTGGGTCATTTATGCCTTGAAAATGATGCTTTTGGCTTCAAGTCACTAGATATTTGAAAGGGCTCTGTTTTTGTCCCTTTTTACAGGAGTAGAGAGATGAAAGGGAGAAAACCACTGAAAAATTTTAGATGCAGGAGAATTTAGTCCTCTGCCAGGGAGAGAAACACAATATTTCATTAGGCTGTGGTAGTATCACTCTTGGTACAATAATTGCTCCCCCACTATATCAAATCAGTAGATGAAAGGCAAGCTCAAAGGAACATTTACTTAAATCACAATTGAGTAACGAACAAAAATTGGAAAAAAATTACTGTGAAGCTCATTATTCTTGGATTTTTTGGTCTGTATGCATTAAACACCCCCCTCCTGCCCCGCGCATATCACATCATGGAGCAAAGATCCTATAATCAAGAGCATGGTGAGATCCACAGACCCACGGTCACAACTGCCTGGTAGAAGAGATTTGAGACTTCACTGTAGCTTTATTTTTGCCACCAAACTCAATAAAAGTAAAACATGGCTCATTATTTTTTCCAAAGATTCATGAACTGCTTGCAGTAAACCTATTTTCTGAAGGAAGTCTAGCTAGCAACTTTTGGAGTTGTCATGCTTCGGGTTCGTAGGCGTAGAGATCAAGCCCTCAAGAGCATTTATCCTCCTAACCTGTAACCACCACATGTATTTTCTTCGGAGGAACATCCTAGCATTTCAGGGGGATAAAGAGATCTGGAGAATTTGGTGTGGAGAGGAATGTGTGTCTTTAAAATCCCCGTCAGCATTAAACTCTGAAATCCACAAAGAATGGCCTTCAACTTGGTGCAAATCGGGCGGACACCTACTGCTTTCTGAGTCCAAGCAAAACAGAAAGTCCAGATTTAGCACAATTAGGCAGGAGGGAGTTGGGTTCAGAAACAGCCCGCAGAACTATTTCTCTGCACTCCCAGTTCGCACTGACTTAGGTAGAAATGATGCCACAATGAGACCACAAAGAGGATTCTCCATAAGATACCCCTACAAAGTCACCTTTCCGATAAAAAGGAGAATAAAAGTTAGATATCTAAAGTAAGCCTAGACTCTCACATGCAGCTACGACTTCTAAGTGAAACTCTTTCTCTCTCCTGTCCTAAAATAGTAATAGAATCACTCACCGCCTGACTTACAAAGATGGGCTTAACTACCAAGCCGAGCGGAGAGTGAACTAACCCCAGACTGTCCTGACTCAGCTCTTTGAGAGAGTTCTGTTCCATCTATGCTGACTGCAGTGCCGTTTACTACTGGAACATAAAAACAAAACCTGCTGTTGATGCAGTCACTTTTTCTAGTGTTTTCCTGTGCTTCTGTGATACCAAGTCTGTTCTGAATATAAAATATGTGAATCATATTTTGGCATATGAGGGTGGAGAATAAATTCTTTACAGACTTTTTAAAACGAATCCATTTGTACCACAGAAAACATTTTGGATGTTGTTATATATGAATATACAAAATTTTCTTGTTTTATTTTGCATTAAAATAAAGCTTTATTCAGTCAGTAAGATGTCAGAGTCTTGGTTTTCTCCCACCACCGGTTTTAGGATCTGATGAATGAATGGGTTGGTCTGGTCCTGCTTACCCTTGAACAGCAATGTCACAGGGCAGAAGACACAAGGAATAAAGTTCTGTCACATGCTGGGCTCCCCGAGAAACAGATGCTGAAATGAAGGTGAGTCAGCAGGATGTCTATTTGGGAGCACACTTGGGTTCAGTGTCTACAGGAGGCAGAGGGAGGAAGCTGGATGGGGCAGAGGGAGAAGCTGAACTGCAATGCACTCCAACTTGGGCCTCAGCCAACTACACAGGGAAATTTGGAGCTACAGTGGCCCTGCAGAGTTGTCTTAAGTGGGACAAGGAAGCTAGGCCTTTATCCCACTGTGTTGGTCAGTGGACATGGGCCACCCCTGGAAGGAGGTGAGACCCAGGACCAGGTGAGGCAATCCCCAAAGAGGGCTGACAGCAGGAGGTCATCTTTGGGAGGTATTCACAGCGATTGGTAGAATAGTTGTCTATTGCTGAAATGGGGTCAGGGAGTACATCAGAGCATCCACGACAACACCCAACACTGTTGAACTCTCATACTGGACACACTCTTTCCTTGTCTACAGAAGCATGATTCTGAGTTGATTCTCCTTGAGACCATCCCTTTATTGGCTTATTCTCAGGCCTCCCCACACACTCTCTTGCATGTTCATCTATAGCCAAGGTTTCCACTACGTCTCTAGACCTATTTGCTCACCATCGCCAACTCAGACATGTCTCCTGAGCACTTGGGTCTCCCCTTTCCTACTGGACATCACCACCTGGACTTTCCACAGGCCCTTGAACTCAACATGCCCTCACTGGAACATAAGCTTGTAAAGAAACCTGTGTCATATGACCCTGTCCTGGCCATTGGCACCACCCTGTTCACAGTTACAAACCAGAACGGGAAATTATCCTCGCCTTCCATTTATAACTCTGCCCCTTCCCCCAACCCCTCCCCTCTGAAGTGATGCAAGGCCAGCAATTGCGTCCTGCAGCTCTGTCCAATGTGCCCTGCTTCCTGACACCCTACCACACTTGGCTCAGCCTCATCACCTCTCACTTAGCCTCTTCAGTGACCTTTATGTGGCTCCTCTCTCTGACTGTGCTTCCTTCTGACCCATCTCTATACTATACAGACCCACCACATGCTTTGGTAAATAACATGTTATTGGAACACAGGCACTCCCATTCACTTATATATTGCCTAGAACACTCTCATGCTACACCTTCAACCTCTGCTCGGCACTGCCAGGAGAATTTTTCTGACATGGACACTTGGCCATCTCTCTCTCCAGAGGCAGCACAGTCTTGTTGAAAGAACACCAGCTTTGAGAACAGGCAGACCTGGACCTAAAACAAGAGTCCACCATTAATTAGTTGCATGACCTGGAGTAAAATACTTACCTCTCTAGGCCTCAGTTTCACCATTTGTGAAATGGAACTATACATCTTATGAAACTATTTTGAGAATGTATTCACGTCACAAAAACAGGAGTTCTGGAGGCAGTTTGAACCAGCTCCCAAGAACCTGCTGTCAATATCTCTTCCCACCCCCATGTTCAGTGATGTCACATCGGTAGCTTGAAAGAGACCATCCCTGTGTTGGAAGCATTTACAACACAGAAATTGGCATACTCTACA